CCTAAACCCCTAAACCCTATACTGTAGGGGCTGAAACAGTTGGAATAAGGTGCCGGGCCCAGTTTGGTGTATTATACTCAGAGCAAGACAGCCTCTGACACGAGTTTATGAGACAAACACCTATATGTAGATGCGTGTCTTGTGTATATGCACATGGGGAGGAGTCCTCGTTACTCAGACTCGCTTCTGCCTTCGTTTGGGTTGTAGGGAATTGGGGGGTCGAATATATGGTGTGCTTCTGATCTGGGTAGAGGGATGAGGGGGACGAGCATAGGGTTTTTCCCTCTCTATAGATACGTTGTGTAGATTCATGATGTCTAGGTCCATTCCCTTGTTCCCTCTGTTGAAGCACTGTCTCTCCACAAGAATACCACTCGTGGACAGCAGTAGAGGGTGGTCAGGTGACCTTTTCTGAGCTAAAAAAAGCCAAGGAGATCTGCATTGTTGAGATGCCTGGTACAGTGCCTATCTTCATAATGTGGGAGGCTCGAAATCACGGCTTCGGCGTGCGAATGGGCCAGGTTGGGGGTATCGAAGCCATCCTGAACCCTTCAAGGCAGTCTTGATAGTTAACTGTGCCCCCATCATGAATCTCCTAGAACTTAGGGAGACACTAAAGGAATCCCCTGTCTTTTTTGGCTTGTAGCCAGGTGGTTGCAGACGGCTTGGAGCGCCATGATGGCTGGTTGAGCACCAGAGCATGGCTGCAGGATTCGGACCTGCACGTGGTCCAGCGTTGCTGGGTCATTGCTGAAATAAACTTCTCTGTTTCAAGCGAGTACAGGATAGCATACGCGGTGTTTGTCTTGAAGTATGGTCACGGTACATACCCAGGTGCAGATGGAGGAGCGGGAGTTGAAACTGTCTATTCGGTGCTGAATGACGGCAGATCGTTACAGATTCGACGGCAGGTGTGGGAGCCGAGCGGCGATAATGAGAGCTGTCCCTGCTGGCAGCAGTTCGCAAAATGCGAGAAAGACGGCCTTGACAGCATGTTAGTAGAGAAGGGTGGCAGCATCAGAAATGCTTTCTTAGACGGGGCCACCCTGTCTAAGCCCGATCGCATCCTGGCTGAGCCGAAGACCGTTGAGGCCGTTGGACCATACACCAAGGTGCCCACTCCTCCGCTGATGCCCTGTGCGCCCTCCGGCGCACCCTCCCGCCAGCCCATTGCGCGCAGGAGATTTCAACGGCCTGCGGTTGCGGCCGCATCGCCGTAAGGTGGCGAAGCATGTTTTCCCAATACTCCTTTCGTGCGGAAGGATGATGCATGATCCTCAGCCTAGGTACTAGGTCTTGTTGCGCAAGCGCTGCAGGCTGCAAAGCACAGGCTGTGCAATGTAAGGAAAAATTGGACGCCCGAGAAATACTATCTCTTTCAAAGGGGTTCGCGCCTTCTTGTTCTCAGTTCTTGCCAGCGCGTGCCTTTGACCGCTATATGGCCAAGCGCGAACTTTTGATTTGCGCCAAAGTCTCCCAACTTACAACTTGCGAAGCAGTTGTTAGCAGATAGTGTAGTCTTCTGCTGCAGAACTCTTGCAGCAGTGAGATCTTGAACGTAAGACGCTCTGGGAGGAACCCTGAATGATGCAACGGAATGGTGTCTTGCTGCGTGCAGGGTTAAGGATTTCGGGGATATTTTCCCGTCAAACCTGCCAGGAATATGGGCATAGAGAGTTGCTTCCAGGGCCTCTGAAGAACATGCACGAGCCTGCGGAACTTTCGGCCAGGCTATAAGAGCCCTCGCCGTGCTATGCCGTGCTGCCGCCCGCATCGTGAAGAGACAAAACCATCAGGTTTCAAAGTTGACGCGGCGTGCTATGTCTCCACAGTTTTGGCAGAGCATGAGCAGGCATCTGTAGAAGTCCTGAAGTGTTCCCATCAAGTTTATGTCTGCTGGTCTGAAAGGCCTGCTGAATTTCTGTGGTGTTGCCTCACTGGAACATTGGAACCCGTCATCTTGATTTGAAACTGTTGAGTTCGATACGCCGCGGCCAGCCCGACCCCACGCCGCCACCACTGCCGCCACCACTGCCGCCACTACCGTCGCTGCCACCCCTGGCCCCCGCCACCACTATTGTCGCCTGTATCAATCAAAGGGCTCAAAAGGTGGGATGAAGGAAGGTGGGGTATAGGAAATATGCCCCAACATGGTAGAGTATATAATATAGTAAGGATCCTTTAACCCAACTGCCTTCGTCCCACTTTTTGAGCCCCCTGAAAGAAGACTACCGCGCGCCGCTGCTGGCAACGTCACAGTCATTGCTGCCGCAGTAGCTATCTCTCCTCAACAATTGCTACTAACATTGTCACTTGCGTTTTTGCGCAATACTTGAAAACTTGTTTCAACTTCTTCAACAGCGGTTACTACCACGTCAGCGGCTGATGCTACAACAGCAACAGCAACAGCAGCAACAACAGCAGCAGCAGCAGCAGCAGCAACAACAACAACAAAAACATCAACAACTAATAACAATAATAGTAATAATACTAATAATCAGAATATATTAATAATGATGAGAAAAATTGTTATTAATAACAACTAATGCTTTCGTAACGCAAGGAAAGAGAGGAAGCAAAAGAGCCCCAGGCTGCTGGCGGCCTGTTGGCATCAGAGTCTCCATGCTTCGCGGGCCTGATGCGAGCCTCAGGCCTCCTTGTCTAAAGGGCTTGGAAAGGAGTCTTCTTCGAAAGACTTAAGCCGGCGATTGGCGAGAAGTAATCAAGTTTCTTTTCCTGGCTTTGCTGGTGGTAGACCCTCCATGAGAATGCTTTCTGCGCTGTGCATGCCGCGGCCTTGTAGCCAGCACGTTCTTGATAACCCTGCAATCTCCAAGATCCGAAGTACTTCAGGTGATGCAAGATGGTTTCTTTTGAGAGTATCTGTGGGTTTGTTAGCAATTGTTAGTAACTGTTAGTACGCACAGTACCGAATCCAGCCAGGGAACTGCTACATGGCAGGGGAGCACCAAACTCTCTGCACGGAAGCTGGTTTCTTTTTTACGCTCGCGATGCTTCCAATATTGCAAATGTTGATGTAGAATGTCTACCAGGGTTCACATCAGATGTTCGTATCCCGGGAGGGTGAGATTCTCAAGTTCTGTTCTGTGGCATCCAGAGCAGCGCGCAGCTTGTGACCGGTTAACACGTATATATGTACTTGCCACAAGACAGCACGCTGGCAACCGCTCCCTGGAGCTGACATTGGACCCAACAAAAACCATCTTGGTCACCCACTTTTTCTTACGCGTCATTAAGACAGAAGTTTTTGGAGCATTGTGTTGCTCCCCAGCCGGGATTCTGATCGACCTTGGGACCCTCTGTTAGATGCGGTAGTTTGAATCCTGCGCAGGGTGGTGCCCTCCAGTTGTATGGCGAAGCTTGTAGGTCCCAGACCTATTTTCTCTATTCCTTTGGGATCAATTGTAAACCCTAAGCCCCCACCCTAAACCCATCAGCTCCTATGGGCTAAACCTCTAAACCACCTAGCCCCAGCACACAACCTTGGCCCAACGGCTCTGCAGGTCGGACGTGCGCTGTGCCGCATGATGGGAGCAGAAAATATCTACAAAGTCTGCGATGACAAAATCTCCGAACAGCGGTGGCGTAGAAAAGGGGTCAGATAGGACTGTGTAGGAGTTGTATCGCCAGCTTCATTATGAGGGTCTTAGGTATGGTTGAAGTATGTATGTGATCCCGAGCACATGCATAGAGTCCGGGTCCACAAGGAGCGGGTCGGGGATGTATAGTATGGAGTCGGCCTATTTGGAATTGGTTCGTTTAGACATGACCCCACGCCTTTGGGGCGAATTTGGATGGACTGCTCAAGGCAATGGTTCCGCCAGTTTCCTGTGGCCTGCGCTGCTTTGATCAGGCAGCAGCGCAGACACACAGAATCCAATGAGTTTGAGGGCAAAGCACTCTGTATCCAGCTTAGTTGTGAGAGTCTCTCCAGGCTGCGAGAAAATGCCATTTGGTAGTTTCCCAAAATAAGCGGACCCCAATGTAGACCCCAAAATACTATAGTCCTTGTTATGGGGACCCCCAAAAGGGTACCCCTAATTTTGGGAAACTCCCATTTGACCAGCGTTGCAATCGCCCTTTCTGGAGCATTCTCTGGGCTCTCAAGGTTGAAGAAAGGTAGGTGGGATGAGGGTTTAGGGTTTAGGGGTTTAGGGTTTAGGGGTTTAGGGTTTAGGGGTTTAGGGTTTAGGGTTTAGCTTGAAACAACAGAATGCATAAGAGGATCATCAACCCCACCTACCTTGATCTTTTTTCGTGGGGTTGGAGAGGAGCTTGGAGACTTCTGTAGTGAGTTTTGCAAAATACAGCTTTGCATGTGAACTTTTTATAAAGGCACATGCAGGGATCGTAAATTCTTTAAGTTTGAAGGGCTTTAAAGCGGAGGTTGAAACTTTGAGAGCATTGAAAGATAACAGGGTCCATCTAAAAAATCTGTGTAGGGATAGTGTTGAAAAACTATCCATATCAGCTGGTCCTCTAAACTCTACAGGAAACCCCTAAACCCCTGAAACCACACCGTGGTGACATTCTTGCAGCTGAGCCCTCTCCCCTTGCCTCCTCAAACCCAAACCCTAAACCCTACACCCTACACCCTAAACCCAACCCTAAACCCTAATCCCCTGCTCCCCCAGGGCACTCTGAATTCGAAGCTTAAGCTCCTTACAAGAACATCTGGGCGGTTGTCAAAATTATGGTCCCTTTCTGGGTACCCTAAATGGTGCCGTATTATAATAGGGGTCCCAAAAGGGCCCATAATTTTGACAACCACCCATCTAAGCGTAAACCGCAACGCAGCGATTGAACCATTTTGAAGGTCTGAACCTTGACTGCGAAAATTCGAGCTGCATCTAGCACGACTACCCGAACTCAGAACTGCTAGACCTTCGACACGGTTTAGGGTTTAGGTTTTACACCCAGCCCCAAGTCTTGCGCAGACTCCTGTGCTAGGCGAAGCCTGGTGAGGAGGATTCTGTCAGTCAGCTTGGTTGCCCTGAGGGTTTATAGAAAGTGTATAGGGTTCATGTCCTGAGCTGTGGGCACAACAATGGGCAGTTTTTGAGTTATGCTCCTTGGCCCTATGCAGTTGCTATTCATTCTGGGCTTGAGGGTTTCGGGTTGGAGTGTAGGGTTTAGTAAGGAGTTGAAGATACCCTTACAAGGGAACCACGTTAAGGGCAATACATCTACACTATAGCAATTCAACTTAAGGTCCTTAGCATCAAGCCAGCCAAAGATGCTCAGGTGGTTTAGGGATTTGATTCTGGACGCGGATGAGAAGGAACCTAAGCCCCAGACATTCGCTGGCTTTGTGCTTGTCCTGTTGTTTTTTTAAGATTATATATGTTGCAAGTAGATGCTCTTTGTCATTTCCTGTAGATTTGCCGGCCTGAGAGTGCCTAGCATAAAGGGTTGCTAAGACATGCCAATCAAACAAGGTTTCTGCAGTAGAACATCACCTAACCAGCCCCCAGGTCAATTCAGTAATAATAGCAAAGCCATTAATAGTAATACTAGTAACAAAAATACAAATAGTAGTAAAACAACAGCAACAGTAACCATAGTAATAATAGTAACAATAATAATTACTAATAATGGGCCCAGACATCCTTATTGAGGACTGTTAGAGTTTACACGGTCCAGGGCATGGGGCTTTCGTTGCAACATTATTGCTCTGGCGGGTGTCACAAACAGCACTACAAACAAGACGCAGCCTAGTAAGAAAAGGGCACGCAGCATGGACCCATAATTTCGGAGATATGCAGTGTTGATGGCAAGCTCTTCAGGGGTCAGCCACACAACGCAAGGCCTTATTGAACAGATATTTCTACATGATCTTCGTGTGAAACTGGTTTATCAACTCTTGTAGTCAAGTCTCATGAAGCCAAACAAAACACTCCTCCAACCGCAAGGTTATGTGCGCACGGTTCAACATGATCATCAAGCCATTGACCGCAAACATGTTCTGAATGCCTAAGCATTTATCAAGTCCAGGGCTCCGTGACATTCCCGAAAATGCTAGGACCCTTCGCATAGAAACCACTAGATTTTGGCAACCCTCCTTTTTAGCTTATAGATTAGGTGGAGGCCCCACCTGGTAATAGTGATTTAGTAGGACCAGAATATGATCGCCACTTTCCCTTCTAATAGCCACTATTACAGGCTCGGGGTTTATTTACATTTCTAGATTTTCAATACTCTCGTCGCAGGACGACTACGACCCGTTTTCGGAGGAGCCCGCACCCCACGTTGCCATGGAAAAGGTGGGAAGGGATTTTTCTTGGTCAATGCTCTGGATCATATATGAGCTACTAGGGTTTCGGGTTTATTGGTACCAAGCACCACTAAGGGTGGGCATAGGGTTCCCTTTGGTAGTGTAGTATAATCGCTAATCTGTTTCCTTATAAGGCACCCATGTTCAGTAGGAAATATTGGCTGTAGCACATATAAAATTTGAGTCGTGTGTTCTCTTCTATCTATAACTGCAACCACACCTTATTTCTTTTCTTCCTCGGGGAATGTGGACAAAGTCATTTTGATGTCCAATAGGCGGCATGGTTTCCAAACTTTGGTCTTGCGTGGGGGTCGTTGCGGCAAGGGTCCCACATGCAGTTCAGGTTTAGGGTTGGGGGTCTTGGGTTGGGGGTCTTGGGTTGGGGGTCTTGGGTTGGGGGTTGAGGGAAGTTCTCGCCCGTAATAGGAAGAAAGCAAGAGTAGACCAAGCCCATTTCTCCCACGCAAATGGCCCATGAAGCCTTGAAACAGGAGAGCGGTTCAGAAGTTCCAGTAGCAGCTAGAAACTGTATCTGAACCTGGAACCTGAAAACCGACACCCTAACTCTTGACATCCAGGAACCCAACACATGAGAAAGTCTTTACCACCTCAACATACTCGTAGTTCTAGTCTGATGGAGGCTTGGACTCATTTTTTTTTTTATCAGGTAGGCAAGTCTTAATCGTTCATACAGCGGCTATAATACCTAAACAACTGATCATCTTCTGACAGTCTGGGAGTTGGCATTTAGGGAGAAGGTTCAGGATTTATAGGAATTTTCGGAGATTTCTGGTTCTTATTGTCGCTGGAGGAAGTCTGCACCACCCTTGCATCAGCAGTATATCAAAAGCAGGGGCCCGCCTTGAAGCTTCAATATATTGTAATCCTTTTGTAGGGACTCCCAAAGAGGGACAACAAGATTTTTCAAAGCCACCAGATTTGTTTGAACCCTAAATCCCACGCCATCAATCTGCATCACCTGACCCCGTCCCTGCAGGAGTTCCGGAAAGCAGCCAGACGTGCCGCAGGAGCCTCAGATCCGTGGCCGTGTAGGGGTTTGGGATGTAGGGTTTAGAGTTTGAGGTTCAGGTTTGGGATTTTGGGATTAGGATCCCTAGAATATCCTGATCCAAATTCCTTTTCTATATCTCAAAGGGCCCCTAAGCTTTCAAACCTGAAAGCTTTTTAAACTGCAGGTTTCTAAAACTGTTCAAGGGGCCCCTAGTTTTTGGAAAAGAGTCGCCTTTGAAAGGTCAAGTGATATTTTTAGAGGCCCGCTCCTGGGTTCCATTTTTGGGAGATTTAAGCGCTAAACCCTTAAATCCTAAATCTCAAATCCTAAGGTCTTTATGCATAAAAGACATTAAATCCTAAATCTCAAATCCTAACTTTCTCATCCGAAATCTGAAGCAAGACGCCAAACATGCAAAAGGCAGCAGCGGCCGGGAAGCTGGATGCTGTCGAGTGGCGGCCGCAGGCACCTATTGGACCCATCCCCCAAAAAAGGAGTGTACAAGAGTGAAATCTGAATATTATCTATATTGTTGGTTGGGTACTGCCCCCCCCTCAGTAACAGCTGGATAATAATTATAATATGGTTATATATAGCGCTTAATAGGACCCCTAAGATAGACTGTTACTAGGTGGGGCAGTACCCTAATTGTTGGTATTCCCCCACACTTCTCATATAATGTTATCTCCTGGCACTTCTTATTTGCTACCGTATAACTGTCAACACTATCGCGCACCCCGCCTCGGCTGTTGTGCACAGAAAGAGAAGCTCCTTTGAAGGCTTCATACAGACCCCATCGTTTAAGGGTTTAGGGTTTCGGATTCAGGGTTTAGGGTTTAGGCGGAGCTTTTTAGAGGGTTCCAAAACCAGCCTTAGAAAAATATCCCTAAGGGTTCATGTACCCAATAATTGGGTACTTGGGGTTTCGGTAATAGAAATTATAGTACACGTTTGGGGCAAGTATATGATTATTAAATACTTGGACCCTTAGGGTATTATCATGCGTAAGCATTTGCTGTGCTTCGGGGTACTTGGGTTTCCAGCAGTGCCCAAGGGACCTTGCCCTTGAACCCTGGCATTCAGGATCCACTCCGAAGCCCAGAAAAATGCAGTAACCTTACTGGGCGTAGTAGGGAATAAGGGAATATGTGGGTTTATGTAGGGTTTAGGGTTCCGGAAAGCCCAAACCCTGCCCTTTTCCAAAACCTTGTCATAAAGCCTAAACCCCAAATCCTGAACCCTAATCTGGGTTGCTGTTACAGAATTTAGTTTAAGTTACTATATTGGAGAAATCCTACTGGTTGATTTCTATATATGCCTATTATGGCAACTGAATTTAAGTTCCTTAACAGCAACCCAATAATCCCTAGACCCACTGATTGTCTTGGACACGCGATTCCCTTGCTTTGATTTTAAGTAGAAGCCACCGCAGCCTTTCTGAGAGAGCTGGTTCGTCCAGCGTCTCTGAGCCAAACTTAGATCCTTGTATTCCCTTGTATTCCCCCAAAAAGGGCATGCTCCAAACAGGGCACCGGGCAGCACAATTGAGTCCATCCCCAAATAAAGTCATGTATAAGCCCGGATAGCCATCAATGTTGTGCCCTTGTCTTTTTGGTAGCTATAGCAGAATATGCTCCAAATGCCTATTTCAAAAAACTTAGAGGCCCTACATGAATGACTGCAAGCCGCAGGTTCACAGCTTTTTGGCTCACCGAAATCCGTGAATTGCTGCATCCCAGGGGTCTGCAAAGCAACGCTCGGCTGTACGTCAAAGCTATAAGAGCTACAGTCTAAACTCCTTAAAGGGGGATTATGTAGGGGATTATATAGGGGACTACTATAGGGCTTATTAAGGGGGATACTAGGAGTTTAGACTATAGCTCATAAGAAGTTTGCAAGTAGGGACAATTCTTAGTCTTTATGGCTCTTACTGTAGTCGTAGTCCCTTAATGGCCCTTATGGTCGTATTGTTGGGAAACTCAAGGCCAGATAAGCTTGGTTGGATGTAAAACTTACAAATTGTTGTCCTTCAACCCAAAGCCCTAAACTCTAAACCTTAAGCCCTAAACCCTAAACTCTAAGCCCTAAATCCTAAACCCTAGGACTTCTGGTGGGAGCCATGGGCAAAAAGCGGCCCACCACTCCCAAGCCACCACGGCCCGCCCGAGTCCTGGAAGTGCCAGGGCTGAAGCCCAAGGCCTCCGCAGTTCAAGCGGAACCTGCTGAGCCTGAGCAGCCGGTGAAGGTCAGGGGTTTAGGGTTTTAGAGTTTAGGGTTAAGGGTTTTGGGTTTCGGGATCAGGGTTTAGGGTTTAGTAGAGTTTAGGGGTTAGGGTTTAGGGTTATCTGAAGTAGTGATTATGTGAGGATTATAGGGCTTGCATAGGGGCAAGGCAGGGCTTATGCAGGGGTTCCAGGCGCTATATGGGGATTTCACATGGGCTAGAACAGAGATTATATACGGGGGGTTTAGGATGATATAGGGACATTACAGTGATGTATCTGATTAAGGGGAGTACTGCCGCAATCATGGAAACTCAAACAGAACGGAGCATGGAACATGAAATAGAAGCTGGGGTTGTACATTTGTACACATCTGAAAACCATGAGTACTCGTTATTATCGATGCAAATCATGTTGACTGAGTGGTTTCTCAGCAAATTCTTTGATAGAGTTGTGTACACAACCATGTATTCCAATCGCCAGGGTCACCCAAAACCCTAAACCCCAGACCTCTTTAGTAGAGCTTTTTAAGCTCTCAGCCCAAACCTATCCCTAAGCCCTAAGCCCATCCATCACCTAGGTTGCTGTTAAGGAACGTAAAGTAAGTGACCATAACATGGGTGTATCGTCAATAATGGGGTTTTTACCATGATAGGGGTGTATAGTCAAGAATGGGGTTTCCTTTTTATAGTACTTCAACTTAAGTTCTTTTAACAGCAACCCAGTAAGCCCATCCATCGCGGAGCAGGCTGCTGCACCCAACAAAAAGCGCAAGAAGGGCAAGGCAAACAAGGCCTCTGGCGATGAGATGCCGGAGGCTGCAGAAGAGCCCCAGGCTGACGATGGACTACAAATAGGATTTAGGGTTTAGGGTTTGGGGTTTGGCGTTTAGGGTTTGTAGTTTAGGGTTTAAGGTTCCGGGAACCGCAATCAGAACTTTACAATGGGAACTACTATTACCATGTTTTGCTGCTGTAAGTGGTTTTGTTATCGCGTTTTTGCTGATACCCTTGATGTAAAACAAGCCTGTACGACCCTCAGTGCAAATCCTAGAAAGCCCGTTAGTTAAGGGGCTCACCATAAACCCACTGCTCTAAATTAAATCAACCTTATACCTTTCAACCTCACCCCTGAACCTAAAAGCCAAACCCTCAAAACGCTAAATCCAAAACTCTATCCTGCGCGGGGTTGCATGACCACCGGACCTTGAATTACTTTACCTTACAGTTTGAATTCTCGAGCCCTAGGTCCCAAATCCAAGTCTAAACTCCCCAACCTTTGAACCTGCCAAACCCTCTAAACCTCCTGACACTCCCAAATCCCACTGTGAACGTGGCTGCGCTACCACTGCAACGCAACCCTAAACAAAAAGGCCTAAACCCTAAGCCCTAAACCCTACACCCTAAACCCTAAGCCCAAATCCCCAAACCCAATGTCAACGAGGAGCCAGCGGCTTCTGTGGCCGATGCTCCAGAGGAACGCCCTGCACCACGCGTGCTGCACATACCAGGCATCCTGGAGTTCTTTGAGCTATAGTCTAATCTCCTTAAAGGGGGTTATATAGGGGATTATATAGGGTTTAGGGTTTAGGGTCTAGACTCCTAAAAGGGGGTTATATAGGGGATTATCTAGGGTTTAGGGTTTAGGGTCTAAACTCCTTAAAGGGGGGTTATATAGGGGATTATATAGGGGAGTATGATGGGGTTTATTAAGGGGGATGCTAGGAGTTTAGACTATGGCTCATACACGGGTCGTATAGGGTTTTATAGGGCTTATATAGGAATAACAGTTTTATAGGGGTGGGGTTTATTCCGTAGGGTCCCGGTACTTGGGTTTGGGGTTTAGGATTCAGGAACGATGGAGAATTCGATTGAAAATGGGATGAACACTTGGGGTTTTAAAGCGGTTTATCGTGTGTTTTCATCAGCTAAGGCTCTGTAGGGTCCAGGAAGATGGTAGTTTGGGGCTTAGCGTTTGAGATTTAGGGTTCGGGGTTTGGGTTTTTTTCTCTGTTTAGGCCATGGGGTGGAGAGTGGAGAGTCTAAGCTCTTAGGCTCGAGCATGCTTGGACAAGAGCAGCAGTAGTACACTCCCCCAAACTAACATGGAAACCCATGTAGCCCCATTTTAGAGGGACTGTAGTCTTTATAGGGCCCCTTTTGGGTTTCAATGTTAGTTTCCAGGAGTGTAGTCGTCGTCGCCAACCGTAAAGTCTAAACCGACAGATCTGGGTTACCTCGGCCCCCAAGGCTTTCAATTCAGACATGGGAAGCAAAATCGAAAGTGGCGTGTTTCCTGGTATTTAGGGTTTAGGCAGTCAGAGTGCTTCAGTAAGCCTAACCCCTAAGCTTACGCTTGCTTGTGGATAAGCTGGTCAAGGTTGATTAAGTTTGATTAAGGGTGAACCTCTGGGCGAGGATAAGGATAAGTATCGCGGGGGCGGGAAGGGGAACCTCCACGATTATGGGGCACCACAACCCTGAGCCCCAAAACAATTATCAAGCTCTATAACCCTCAAACCCGAAGGCACTAAAAGGGCCTACAACTTGCATCATGCCCCCTTGACCACAGGCAAAGCAAGTCGTGGATCCGAGAAGCGCCGATTCATGTCGGACAAAGCTTCCAGACTGCGCTTTCATGTAGAAGCCTGAATAGATACCATTGTGGAATAGGGTTTAGGGTTTAGGGTTTAGGGTTTAGGGTACTAAATGGACACTGGACTTATATGGGGGTTATGTAAAGGGATTGTGCAAGGTAGGGGGTCTCAACAATTCCAACAGCACTTTGAGGTTTACTTGAGGTACACCAACTGTAGTCACATAAGGAATCCAGGACCACAAGATCGGTAATTATTCTGGTTTCTACAGGAGGTAGAAGTTTCCGCTATGGTGTTAAGCCCAGCAAAGACAGAGGTTTTTACTTACCCGCCTCTAACACAACGCCAAGTTGTTGTTGTTGATGATGATGATGATGACCGCGATGATGATCATCGTCTTCATCAACCACATCCTTCTTTTTTGTAAACCTCAAACCTGACACCTTCAGACCATGAACCACCCTAATTGAAAAGATTCTGCTCCCCAGGTCTCCAGCATTCGCTCGAAGCCTCAGGAACCCAAGCAGAAGGTACGCAGGGGAAAGGGTGGCCCTGACCAAGAGGACTCCGCAGAGCTCCTCGAGTTCAATTCATCGGTGTTTTTAGTTTTCGGTTTAAGACAGTTTTTTTTGGCGTCTTGAGCAAGGGGTAAGTATCTTCACATGAAGACTGCAACTCAAGAAGGAGAGGTCTAGGATCCCGAACACGTACAAGTGCAGGAATTGTCACGCCAGAAAAGGCCCTCGGGGTCGAGCAATGCGATTACACCAGCGCAGACAAACGAAATGCTTTCCAAGGAAGAATGGCTCATGAATGTTCCTCGTCAGGTCAGAAGGCAGAGATCAGTTTTTGGAATCTCTTCAAAACGTGGCTGCAGTGGCCCTATCGTAAGCTCACAATAGCCATTTGCAGGGCCCTCAGCCATAGACCCTAAACAAAAGGAGACTGAAGAAGCCCAGGTTCAAGAAGGCTCTGAAAGATGTCCTGAATTTCGTCATGCCTCAGCTGGGGAAGTCCGAGCGGATCCAGTACGAAAAGGCCAAAGGGAGTTGTGCTGGAAGGGGAAATTCCGTTTTTGCATTGACGAAAGAGACCACTGTCCACATGATCGAGGTATAGATCAATCTGCACCCAAAGGAGGTTCAAAAAGATATATATATATATGTACTATGATATACTTCAATATACTATAATATGCCCCTAATATACCCATAATATACCTGAGTCTACCCTGAAGGCCAAGATCCGTGCTTTGGGAGGCACCCCGGACAAGCCCCAGCAGCCAGACTTTGGAGATTCAGGGTTCAAGATCTTAGAGACCTGCGGGCTCACAGAGGAGCGACAGCAACATTCATGTAGGGACTTATAGTCCCCCTTAGGTAGATAGAATATGGGGTATATGGAGATCTTAGTATAATATACCCAAAACCATATTCTATCTACTTAAGGGGGACTATAAGCCATTAGCACAAGGTTTTGAGGTAGTGTAAGTTATAGTTATTCAACATTTCTGAGGGAATAACTTTTTGTAATCATTCTACATCACGGGAGGATTCTGTGGGTTCTGTGCTTTGTTTCTTCTGCAATTTCTTGCGCGCAAGGGGTTCCAGGGAGTGGGGGTTCCTTTTTGGGGTTGGGGGTTCCCTATCGGAGGAAGGACGAGTCATTATGGGGAAGCCATACTCTTAAGAATTTCGAACAAGCTGTAAACCCTAAAGCCGAAACCAGCATGACGGCCCAGGTATGAGCCTTACGCATCGCTACAGCGCCGGAAGAAGGCACATCAGGGAGGAGGATATTCAACTGATGAGCAGCATTCAGGGCGTAGACTTAGGGGTCTAGGCCTCCTGACAGATTCTTGAAGAGTCTCCAGAAACTCTTATACAGCGGCTTGTGCTACTCTTTTTTGCTGCGTATGACCCTGACTTCCTACGCAATCCTCAGAGAATCCTTCTAGGCTTCCTCTGTTACCCATTCGAGCCGGCCTCAAAGCAAAACCTCTAAGCACCTAAAGTCAACAAACCGCCCAGACGCAAGACCCTACTCATGGGTCCTTAGTTGAACTCTGATACACTGCATGTGATGCTGAATTTCTGGAAAAGGGAGCGTCGCCTTCATACATCAGAAGCTGCATGGTCCTCTTCTCGGAATTCCCACGAAGGGTTGCAAGGGCTGGTTGTCGTTGGGGAACATAGATTAAATTCCCAGTCCGGGCAAACCGTACTATTGACCATGGAAGCATATTATGGTAACGCATTCTGAGTTCGCTAACAGGAACCCAGGCAAGTACCCATGATATTCACAAGCCCCATGTCATCTTCCCTGCCCTCAAAGATCTGCACGGAGGAGAACTTGTAAAGTCTAGTCTACTGTAGACCCCTGATTAATAGACCCCCTCCTTTTAAGGGGCTTAATATTAAGCTCCCTATTATAGTCCCTATTAAGGGGAGGTGGTTTATTCATCAGGGGTCTACATTACAGCTCCTTTTCTGAACTGGCCCTGAGGTTCCGCATTAATCGCTTCCCCCTAATAATAAACGACGTCCCCCCCCCCTAATAATAAATATTCCGGGGTGTCAAAAATTATTTATTTTTAGGGGGGAATATTTATTGAAAGGATTTGGTAGGGCCGCCTTTAAATTCCTTTTAAAATCCATTACAAATCGAATTAAAATCACAACAGGATCAATTGAAATTTAATTAGAAATTCCTTTTAAAATCAATTCAAATCGAATTAAAATCCCGTTAGAATCAATTGAAATTTAATCAAAGTTCCTTTTAAAACCAATTAAAATCGAATCAAAATCCCAATAGAATCAATTGAAATTTAATTAGAAATTCCTTTTAAATCAATTCAAATCGAAATAAAATCCCGTTAGAATCAATTGAAATTTAATTAACATTCCTTTTAAAATCAGGTGAAATCGAATGAAATTCAATTGAGATTAAATACGGC